CAATTCATTTTTTCAGCTGCACAACTGCCAAGCACCTTAAATTTATTTTTGAATTTTCAATGTAAATTTCATAAATGCGCGATATACTAAACTGCAATTTAGATCTTAAAATGTTCTTCCATTTTTTTTTTAATTTGCATTTTGCAACACTTGTTTGAAAAAAAACGCAATGCACATAACTTTTTGCAAAAGCTCATAATTTTTTAAGACTATATTTATTTTTGTAAACATAAACCGAATGGTTTAAGTATCGAAAAAAGTTTCTGTCACGCACAAATTACGCGAAACTTTTCCAGTTCTTCCTACAAAGACAAAGCAAAAATTGAATTCAACCCTTCGCTTCCAAGTTGAGTGTTCAGTTTGCAATTGTAAAAAAAATATTTGTAATTTTTTTTTTTTTGAATTTTCACTTTTACATGTAATTTATGCACTGAAGAAATGCCATCACACAAATACAACCCAGTAACTTTTACACTGTAATTTGTATTATACAAAATATCGCCGAACACAACACATTTTCGCACACACTTTCCACGTTAGCACCGAAAACGCACTTTAGTTAGTTTTAAATAATTTTTGCTTTTGTATTTGTGTCTTCAAAATGCTTAGGTACTAAAGTGTGTTTCTTTCTTCTGCCTAGTTTTTGACTTTTCGATTTTGTAATTTATATATTTTACATTGCGTATACTATACTATATATTATTTTTAAGATTTCTTAGCTTTAAATGATAAACAAGTTTCTGATGTTAATTTTACCGTTAAGCTGTACTCGAACTTTGTTTTTGTAAAATTTAAATGCTTTACTTGCTAAATAATATTTGACCCTGATTTTTTCAATTAAAATATCATTGTTTTTTTTTCTTCTTTTTGGGATATTTTTTATTTCAGATATTTTGAAAATGTTTGAAAGGTTTGTATTATTTTTTGTTCAAAAAGTGATAAGTTTATAATTTACAAAATAATATCTTAGAAATTTTATTTAGGCATAATTTTAAAAAATATTTAATATGAGCACTTTTTAT